TTTTAGGGGAAGAGTTCAGTAACTTTATCAAGACGGCATGGGATAAGGAAGGGTTAGGACCTTTTTTAAGTACAGGTATAGTCACGCTTCTCTACAAGAAGGGAGACCCCACCGACATCACGAACTACAGACCTATCACCCTTCTAACAGTAGCGTACAAAATCTTAGCCAAATTGCTAGCAAATCGAATAAGGAAGATCACAAAAAATTGTTTTCACACAGACCAAACAGACTTCATCATGGGTAGATTTATCCTAAACAACGTAATGACTCTAGCTGAATTTGTAAGGTATATCAAAGATAAAAAAAATGAATGCAACTATCCTCTTCTTCGACTTCGAAAAAGCCTACGACCAAGTTAATTGGGACTGACTTCATTAATGCATGGAAACTATGGGAGTAGGACCCAATTTTAGGAAATGGGTGCGTGTGCTATATAACGACGCCCTAGGAGCCGCACAAGTAAACAGACAAATATCCAACACATACAAGATGTCCCGCTCCATCAGACAAGGGGACCCTTTGGCTGCACCGATATTCCTCTTCATAATGGAGGCCATAGCATCATTTCTAAGAAAAGACCCCTCCATCCATAGACTCACCGATCAGCTGGAGGAAAACACACATAGCTATCACATTCCTCCTACAATCCTATTCGCAGACGACCTCACGATACTAATAAGAGCCTCCTCCTCATCCTTTCAGGCCCTTACCAAAGCTATGTGCGCATTTCAACCAGCTTCATAAATGCGTATCAAGTGGAAGAAAACAATGGGGTGGTCGCTATCATCAGACAACCTGGAAGTCCCTTCAGATACCCTAGAGGGAATGACATGGACCGACCCCAACGATCCCATCAGGGTCCTAGGAATACAAATGACAGAGATAGGAGCAGCGACAGAAATGGCACCTCGTCTACTGGCTAAAATGATCAGTAAACTGAGTACCTGGGGGAAGATACACACCTCCCTGTTTGGTCGAGTCTTAGTGCTGAACTCGTCCATGTTCTCAATGATGTGGTACGTGACAGCCTTCTGGTTCCCGAACCAGAAGGCATTAAAAGACATACAAAGGAAAGCCTCGGCCTACCTATGGATAGGGGACGCCTCCAAACAACATTTCATTACCAAGGTAGCATGGCAATATGTGACTAGGAAAAAAAGCCAAGGGGGTTTGGGAGTACTGGATCCAGCCACTCAAATAAAAGCGCTACAAACCAAATGGATCCTAAAGCTAATAACTAGTCCCAAACTCCCGTGGCGACCGCTGGCCCTGGAGGGCCTACAACAACTGCCGGTCTACAACACACCAGAAAATATGGAGGGCACCTTCTGGATAATGAGTAAGTCATGGACAATGGAAAAAAAGCTTCAAGCCAGGATCAAACACGAAGCGAACCAAGACTAAAGTTTTGGAGAACAATACTCCTGTCATGGAGAGAAATATTATCGGCCAAGGTCAGACACCCACGCACTAAGGAAGAAATACTTAGACAACCCCTCAATTGCAACCCATGGATACTAGCCGACAGCGAAACGCCATTCACCCTTATGGTGAAGGACTCGAAATGGGGTACTTGGCTAGAAAAAGGAATCTGGCAAATCAAACACATCTGGGACGAAGACAGGAAAGATTGGATGAACCTTGGACAACTTCGCAGTAGACTCAAGGGTAGCCACAACCTAGCCCAAAATCTCCAACAAATGTTAAAAGCCATACCAACAGAATGGAGCCAGGTCCTCTGAAAAGACAGACAATGGTCAATAGGAGATTGGGCAATAATGCCACAAATCATCCCCCGAGAACATGCCCTAGCCTTTGCAGGAAGGATAGAAGGAAGAAACAACTGGTACAGCTTCACCATGCACAAGTTGGAGGAACCAGGTATGGAGATCAGCATAGTCAGCAAGGACCCGACAACACTCATCACGATCAGAGAGGATCAGCTTAGGAAAATCAGAGTAATAGAGAATGAGGATCTCACCCTTTTCCACCCCCAAACTCCACTAGAAGACTAGGAAATAGACCCAGCTGAGTGGGCATGGAACCTCAAACAAAGCCCATCAGGTATCAACCTCAAATTCAACATTCTACAATACACAACTAGATTAGGATACAGACTAAGACGTAGATCAATAGCCCCCGAACCAATCATAGCCGAACGATGGTGGAAACATCTAGAAGTAGACCCCGAAAAACTTGCCCAGATCCCGTGGAACCAAATCACAACACTACATCCTCCCAAGTTCAGGAGCCTTCAATGGCTAATATTGTACTTAGCCATCCCCCTGAACCAATGGCTGAATGTCAGAAGGAGGATGGAGGACAGGAGCCCATTGAAGGAACTGTGCGCAAATGCTAGGAGGGCCAGACGGAGGACCTCTTTCACTGCTTTCTTCTCTGTCCCAAGATAAACCGATTTGGGACAAAATAGCCAAGATCTAGAACTCAGTGATATGCACGCCCTTCACAACAAACCACACCCTCCTACTGATGGGTTTCACAACCCCGGAAGATTGAACCCAGCAACAAAATAACTTCTTCCAAATCCTCAGAAAAGCAACACTTTGGGTCATTTGGAGAAAAAGGTGCCAAGAAACATTAATTAAGCAACCAATGCGCTTAAACGAAGCATGGCTCCTGTTACGACAACAGGTCAAAACCGAGTATTGGGTCATATGGTGCAAAGCAAGAAGAGGAATAGAAGCAAACGAACCCACTGCAAAGGAGCAAAAACAGAAATTCGAAGAAAATTACCTAGCAAGGGATAAAATAGCCCACATCAAGGGTCAAAGTCTAATCTTTACACTCTGGGAAGGCGCTCCCCGAGCATTTCAATCAGACAAAGAGTCCTTCAACAGCATACCAGACTCCTTCGTTTCCCACATGAACTCCCCCTAGGTTGGAGAAGTCAAAGCATAGATCACCTAAACCACAGCCCCCACACACCCCCGGACCATACTCGGCTAACATGCACTCAGATCAAGGACTCCTACGACAACCCCCATACAGATAACTAGTGTCAGACCCACTTCATACCCCCACTCACTAACAACCTAGCGCCAACGTCAAGCTAATCTCCCCGACTAACCGAGCTAGAGGCCAGACTTCACGCAGGCAGCTAATAAAGGTAAAATACGGGCAATACCAACTACCCTACGGAACCCTACACCCTGGGGAGTAAGGACTAGACCAAACAGATCAGGCCAACTCAGTAGAGACACTTCAAATAGAGAATAGCATGGATCAGCCTTAATTTGAGAAAATAGACGGAGAGGCAGAGAAGGATAAAAAACAGGGTTTAGGTTTTTGGGAATAAAAGTCTGAAGAGACCCACAGAGACAAATAGACAAGGTAGTCACATCCAGCTTGCAAACCAGTCAGTTAACAGGGCAGGTTAGCGACTCCAGAACTTAAATCTGACCAGGCAGCCGAATAGCTGAGAGGAGTAAGCTAGCCGAGCCTCATTTTACAAGTCAAGTGCTTCAATCAGAGTTAGCAGAAAACAGCTTATCCCCTATACCCAGAAACCAAGCCAGGCAGGCTAACTTAGGCAGGGGTAAGGGGCAGTACATCCTTCCCTAAAGGAAGTAATCAATGCCGTCCACTTGGGCCTCCCAACCATGATGGGGAGGAGCGTGCGTGGTAAATTTTGTATCATTCTTGACTTGCCGGGGGAATAGGAACCGGACTGTTGCTCCCCAGAATGGTAGGAGCCAGAACCGAGAGGTTCTGTTGCTAATTAAAAAAAAAAAAAAAAAAAAAAAAAGGAACCGGACTGACGCTCCCCAGAATGGAGATGGAGCCAGGGCTATAAGGACCTGTTTTTGAAAAAAAAAAAAAAGAAAGGTAACGATGTGGTCCATCTGGAAGGAAAGGTGCTGCAGAACCATTGAGGCACTCTCAACTCCAAGGGAGAAGGTATGGGGCGGAGACAAGGACCTTGATTCAGGCAGAGATTCTTTGTAAGTGGCATAAGACGAGACACTCCATGCCAGATGGCGAAGAGCAACAGAGAAGAATCAAAGCAAAATTCACTAAGGTGAGGCTTGCAGGGGGCAAAGTAGCAGAGATAAATGACTTTCCCATACGGTGGAAAGACTGGCACAACTCAGAAGCAGGGTGGAGAAGGCAGAGGTCCCAGCCAGCAGATAGACAAGATCCATCACAGGCCACGTAATGTTGAAGGGAAAATTCCGATTGCATCTTCCGTAGCTTCTTTTACTTTTCTTGCTCTTTATCATTTGTCTGACAGGTTCATGTAGTGGACCTGAGAGGAAAGGTGGAAGTAAGGCAAGCTGACAGTCAATCCTGCACGATGATGGAGTAATCAATGCTGGTCAGGGTTCCTTCGGCCAGACGGAAGGAAGCGTGAGTGTGTTTCATGATGTAATACTTTATTCTGACTTGCCGGTGGAATAGGAAATGGACTGATGCTCCCCAGGATGGAAATGGAGCCAGGGCCATAAGGACCTGTTAAAAAAGAAATAGAAAAGAAAAGAAAAAGGGGCCCCAAATCCGGTTCGACGGGTCCCGAACCTGGGGGCCGACTGTGCCCGGAGTTCTGGCCGGCCCCGCGGAGTCGGAAGGGCCGACTCCGGTGCCTAGCCGTAGTGCCGGCATTATGCAAGTGCCCTGGCAGTGCAGTATCCCATGTCCTAAGTTGTCAGGGGCAGTTTACAAATACAAAGAAGCAACTCGGCTGAGATGTGCGAATTGCTGCACTTCGTGCCTAGAGGCTCACAAGAGTGTTTTCCTTCGGTCTGGAAGCCTCAAGTGACTTTATAGAGGTGTCACCTATTGTTCCCCTGGCGCCACCTTCGCGGGAGCCGCTTGAATACTCCAATTATGAAATGAAATGTCGGACATAAGCCAGGGTTTTGCATGGTTTATGACAAAGCCATAGTTTGGGAAGGAGGTGACATGGAAACACTTTACAAAGCCTGTCCCGAGATACATAGTTTGAGTGGCTGGCGATGGGTTGGTGCTTCTGAACATACCTGAACTTCTAGAAGAAGAAAATACTTCACCTCCCGAAGAAGGCGCACCAGAGCAGGGTCAAAATTCACCCTTAGGAATGGGTTCCTATCATTGCTTTGAAGAACAGATGCAACGAATGACGCCCGTGCAGCTGAAGGCACTGCTGACCCCGGAGTGAGCATTGCCATTGCACTCTTTGCCATCCTCAAGAGTGTTGCGGAGGATTCTCTGCGCAGCAATGGCTGCTTGAGTTTGTCCTCACTCGTTGCTTCAACCTCTTTTGTCCAGCTTTCCACCACATTCCTCTCGTAGTCTGCCATTTGGGATATTAACGTGCTAATGGTTTTGTGTAGAGGCATGTACAAAAACAATTTAAACAGAGACACATACAACAATCGCCACTGTAGGAGTGTATAAAATCACCGATCATAGTCTGTACAAGCAGCTATCAGTTTCATCATCTCAGAGACTCAGATTTTGTCGATTTGTCAGGCCACAAAATTTTGCACCATCCAACACAAGGACACCCCCCCCTCCTCTACACACACACACACACACCCTTATGCACACGCGCACACACACACACAAAAAAAAAAAAAAAAAAAAAAAAAAAATTAAGGGGGTGAAGAAGTGCTCCACAGAGTCCCCAGAAAGAGAGAATTGATATATCCCCCATTTTTACACCCCATAGGGCCCATACCCCCTATTCCATGATGTGAGTTAAGCTTGACATCAGGAAAATGCACCCTTTTGGGCCTTTTCGTTGGACCCCCTGGAAACAACAGAAAAAGACAGTGTTATAACCTGCAAAATTGCAGACTGTGAAACCTGTGCTTTTCTGAGATTTTGCCGCTGTTCTGTGTGCTTTCTGGTTTCCTGCTGTCTGAGTCTGTGTGTCGTGTGTGTGTTTTGAATTACACCACAACAGCCCCTATTCCAACCAGATGAGAAGATTGAAAGGATTTCACGGCGCAGAGCCCTGAAAGCTGGCATCAAATCTCCAAACGTCCAGAAAGTTCTGAAGTCCTTAGTCCTTAGTCCCAGCTTCACGTATGGTAGGTCCGATAGGCCAGTGAAGCGTCGTGGGTCCGAGTTAGGACACATCCGGAAAAGTCAGGTCGGGGTAGAGTCAGTCCGGTACCCCACAGAAAAGTCCGGAAGGTCCAAGTCCAGTCCCCAAGTCCACAAAAATTGCAGCAAGTCCCAGGAAAGTCTGGGAAGCTTCCGGACTGTAACAGACAGGCTGTGGATGACCGTACCGGTCTGAGGCAGGCCAAGCAAAGTCCAATTCCTATATTTAGCTGCTACAGCGCAGCAACGGACACAGTTGTTCATTTGTGAAGTTGTGGAAACGCTGCTGCTGCTTATGTGACCAAACGACTTTGGCAAGATAACGCTCGAAGAAGAAGGGAGAGTTGACGACAGCCATAGCTGGGGTAGTGATAAGGAAGCAGGGTGGCCATAGCCGCCAAGGTTGAAGTCTGATCTGAGCAGGTGTATTCAGGGCACGGTCTAAGTCTGATCTGCACGGGTGTATTCAGGGCACGGTCTAAGGAGAGAGAGAGAGAGAGAGAGAGAGAGAGAGAGAGAGAGAGAGAGAGAGAGAGAGAGAGAGAGA